TGTTAATTTCAGTTGACAAGTCAAACTACTTTTCTCTATTTTTACTTAAACACTAGCAGTGGGTAATTCATTTATTCCTTTTCTTCTTTTTTTTTTATTATAACAATATTGACATATAATTCACTGACACTGTCATTGAGTTACCACAGTTGTATCATGAACTTCCGATACTCGTCTGCTTTATCGTATTTAGGCCTACTTTCAAATAATAATCTACATTTTGTCAAAGTCTACACAGGCAAGTTCAATTGCTTTAGAACACCCTTTGGTGAGACAAATTATTCTCCTAAAATGTCAGAAAACTGTTAATCTCATTTTAACCTATCAACTATTAGGTTATTCATTCCTACAATGGTTAACTTTACATTTTCTAACTTTTCTCAGACCAAAACTCTACTTCCTGTGACTTTACTTTCTTGTCTCTGTCTCTCTGCTATTCTTGCTTATCTCACATTTTTCATATATTTATCACTTAATTGTCTGCTCACCTTCTAGAAATCTCTATATCCTTGACATTAGTAAATTTCACATGACGTTCAGTAGCCTCAATATCAATGAATTATAAACACAACTTCCAATAATTATCTACTATATAACTCTCTTATTATAAGAAAAAACTAAATCATGAAATATTAACTCTAAACAGTCTTTTATATCATGACAGAGTGAGATAAAACAGTACATGTGTTCTCTGACTCAGCGGTCTTTTCCTCAAGCCATTTTATAAGAGGTTTATTGGTAACATACAGACACAGATGGTTGATCATCTTTTACACCTCCTTCTGATATATGGAAGTCTTTCCTAACTCTTGACTTGCAGACTTATGTACATCAACTAATGCAGATCTAAACTACTCCACATATTCTTGTGGACGTTGTATAATATCTGCTCTAAGTTGAGTATCATACATCAAGTCTATAGGGAGCAAGACTTCTTGCCTGAACATGAACATATTTGGTGAACAGTCTGTTGATCTGTGCTCAGTTGTGTTATATGCCATCATGATGTGTGGCATTTCTTTCAGTTATTTTCATCACTATTAAGAAACTTAGCAAGCACATACTTTACAGTCTGTATTACCTATCCTATTAAATTGTAAGATGACGTGGGGGTCAGGCAATCTGTGCATTTCAATTTAGCTCTCTGATCTGTGTGGATATCTTAAGGTGATCCAAAATTGGATATCCAGTGCTCTGCCAATGAATCACCAATTAACTATGCTGACATTTTGACCAGTGAATAAGCTTCAGCCAACCTTGTGGAATAGTCAGTGATCATAAGCATATACAGGTAACCTCATTCTGTCTCTAGGAATTGATCAGTGATATCAAGGCCTGTTCTCTTTAGTATAGAGCGAACATTTCTATGCTAGAATTTATTCTGTTTAAGCTAGCTATTTCACTGGTTGGCACATACTGTAGATTGTTGACACCAGCACTTAACTCTCTCACTACAATGTTGATCAATTTGACCAACCTTGTAACCATTTTGTACTCATTATTGTTTCCATACTATAACTTTTAATACATTTTGTGTATCTTCACAAAATTAGCAGATATTTAGTAAACATTACAAGTCTTTTGTACACAGAAAATCAGATTTTTTAACGAAGTATTTTAAAATTAAAGATATTAAAAAAATACCAAATAGATTTATCATTTCATCAATTAAAAAATGAGATTCAAGAATTTCAAAAAATTCTGTTATAGTTCCAATTGATAAAGCTAATTGTAAGTTGGCTTTATTTGTAAAAGGCTTTATGCATCAATTATGATAAATGAAATCAATAGTATACAAACATTTAAAGTTATTAACCAATTCAAAGATATGGTGATTAATAATTTCATTAAAAGTTATAAAAACTTTATCTAAAACAAATTCTTTTGTAGATATACCTTTTCTTTAAGCTATTCCTGAACAACATAAATCTCCAATTAAATTTATTTATTTCTAGTTCAGTGAAAACAATTATTAAACAACCAGCCATTTTATTAAATAAATTACTTAACATTTTATTTAATAAAATTTAAAATATAATTAGTAATAATAAGAAACACACATTTTGGATGATAAAAACAATCAACCCATTTTAGAACAACTAAATAAATGTGAAGAAGCAAAAATATTGAAACATTTGATTTAACGACACTATATACCACAATTCCATTGAAAGATTTAATTTCTGTGATGTAAGTTAAAGCAAAAATTTCTGGGTTTATGGAATTTTCAATAAACCTATTCTCATAAAAATAAATGTATAAATTTGCAATACAAGTAGAATAGTTAGCTCCCATTGGAACTCCTATTACTTGTTTAAATACCTGGTTATTGAAAAACATAATTATTATAAATACAGAAACTTAATATATGATATCTTTTATATTCTTGGAGGTTAATTTTCTTTCTTCCAGTACTTAAAAAAGATGACACTATTGTTCTATTAATGAATTGATATATTTTCTTTTCCAATATACAACCTTCATTATTTTAATAGTAACGTGCCACATTCTTCTAACTTCACAATTACTCAGATTTTGTCAAATTTGTAATAAATTACAATATTTCATTATTAATGTTGAAATATAGATGAAAAAATTAGTACTTAATGAATTTAATAAAAAACATTAAGTAAAATTTAGAAAGTATTTTGTGATAAATAAAAAAAATGTATTAAATAAACATAAAGAAGTTTTTGCTTGAAGTTTCCGATAAGTATTTTTAGTTTTTAATAAAGTTGTTTAAACAACTCGGCACTATTTTTATGCAGCTGAACACCTTATTGCATATAAAGGCTGAGGTAAAGTCTGAAAATTGGTAGTTACAGTGGACTCTACGAGTAAACTTAATGGGTGGTGGTTGAGAGTTATACTGGTTTAGATAACTTGGTTGGGCTTTTATGTTAGTATAATTTGTGTACTGTACTACTAATTAACTTAATAGTTTAGGACTTTACTACTACAATGGGGGCTGGAATGCTAACATCAAGATGTAAGTTTATCTTACCTTCCAGTGGTAGACCCTTATTCTTTTTTTTTTTTCCCTTACTTTGGAGAGCAGCCACCCTCCCACAACTGTCTGCATGCAGTGAAGTGCAATATAGATGTGGGACATTGTGGGCTTGAGCATCCATATCTTGATCTCCTAACTTGTATCATTTCTTTTTTTATTACTGACGAATTTCTTTTCTTTTCCTCAATATATGATACTAGCAAACGAACATTTAGACTGGTAGATGGTGTATCCCTACTGCAATGTGGGTCCTATTTCTGCAGTCACCTCCAAAAGCCAGGGCATATTTAATATCACACATTATAGCCTGTATCCGAGGAATCCTTTTAATCTTTGCAGTGTCTTCAATGTCCTTTTTTGTTTGAGCTTGTTCATTAAAACTTAATTTATCACAGGTTTGTATTTACTGTTTTTAATGTAGTCCTTCCTTTTAATTTTTGCTTTACTGTTTAAGTATTAATTTTCTAAATTATTTATATATATATCCATTCTTAAAGACATTAACAAATGAGATAAAATATATATACTAACCAACCCCTTCTTTTTTCTCTTGCTGACATTTGACTTTCATATCATCAGTTAAATGTTCTTCTGCCGTTGGTGAACCATTGGGTAAAGAGTCTGACAAAGGAGGTGAAAATGGTGAGGTTAATTGACTTGTTCCTGGAACTGAACTAGTAGAAGAAGCCATCATTACAGTGGAAGAAGTTGGTTGGGTTGATAATGATAATGGTTTGGTTGAAGGAGTTGAAGATCTTTGTGGTTTCTTCATGGTTAAAATTGCAGGTTTTTTACCTGGCAGTGGTGGAGCTGGCTTTTCTTCTGTCAGGAATAAGAAAACATACTTGAAGCAAAATTGCTTCAAAATAAAATAAAATATTAAATATAAACTTAAGTTATAATTTGTATCAGAAAAATACTTAAAAGCTTAAATATAGTATATACAGTTTTTCTGGCAAAAGTCACATTTTCTCTCATAATCCTCTGGTGCAGGGAGAGGAATATATGATTATCGAAAACTGCTCCCCAAGATGCAGAACAGATGTACATGAACATCAAATGAAACCTCCAGGAGGAAAGCTTGAAGAAAACTCTCTACAAAGTGTTGTTCTTCACTAACTACCAAACTCAAAATCAACTGAGTTTTGGATGAAAGTACCACTTTAATGAAGAAACTGTCTTGAAAAATATTTTATTCAAAGTCAAATCCCTAAAGAATGTAAGGTGTCTCAAAAAACAATGTATCAATCAAAAATAGGATTGAATAGGTAGGTGATAAATCCAAAACAAACAATCTCTGAAATGGAAACTGAAACCTCTCCACATCTGAGCTCTGATGGCTTAACAGTGTGTCGATGAAGGTGCTATTCAGATTTATTAACTGTTCAACCCGTTGATATAACAATGTTGAGTGACTGTTTGATATTTAACTAGTTAACCTTCTAGATATGGGTATGTCAAAGAGCACTTGCTACAACCTTTTTACAGAGGGGTTGTAGAGACCATTCCATTGGTAGAATGCTTACCGGCTGAGAGAGAGGCAGTCCACCACCAAGTTCTTAGATCCCAGCAAAATAATAGGCAACTTGACAAACCAAATGTGACCAGAAAAGTAGGTTAAATGTCCAAAAGCAAAGGGTCCTGAAACAGATATCTCCTGGATAGTTGATGTAAGAAAACAATCATATAAATGTTGGAGTGGTACATGATCAAGTAATCCACCAGTAGGGGTAGGAATGGGAACATGCCTGATGAGAAGTTCAAGTACTTAGATGTGGAGTGAATGCTCATCCTGTGACCAAATGTCAGAAGTCATCCTTGTCCAAAGATGCACCTCAATCAGAGAAGAAAGCTTTGGTGAAGAGAGAGAGAGAGATCTAGCTTGGGAGTTGGTAGGGGAATGCTGCAAATAGTATGGGCACAGTCCAGTCACCATGACAATACCTCAAGGAGAGGAGTGGGGAAGTACACAAACAAGAACAATGGAACCCAGGAAAGAATCCCTTGGAATTCACTGGAAGAGGTGCATGTGTGCATACTTCAAGGGAATAAGGGGTTTCAGGGAAGTCAGAGTCCCCCCAAAGTGAAAGAACCCCTTGTATAGGATAAGAATGAGAAGTGTAAATCCTGGTGACCAGATACATCATAGCTTATAGGTGAAGAGAACACAAATGAAGTTGGCTAAGGCAAGACACGAAGAAAATGCCCACAAGTACCAAATATTGAGTTGGCATGAGAAAAGACTTAGATCTCATGACAAGCCACCCCAACTGAATAGTCTCCTGTAAAAAAAAGGGGGTGCGAGAAGAGGATACCATCCAAAAATGGGCAACAAGGAAGTCAATCATCCAGGAAAAGGAATGCCAGCTCCAGGCCATGAGTATGATAAGCAAAGGTCCCCACGATTCAAATGAATACAAAATGGGTTGATGCTATGTTGAAGGGAAGATTAACGAAAATGGAAGATATGAATCTGATGGATAGAATGTAGAAAACATATGTAGGATGGGTCAGGAAAGTGTACAGTCAACTGCAAACGGGGTGAGAAAGAGATCATGAGTGAAGAGAAGAGAAATGAGGATAGAGATTGTGGTGGAGAAATTAAAAATGATTGTTGGCAGAAAATGAGACCAACAGCAGAAGAGGAAGAGATGGGTTGTCACAGGGTTGGATGTGACATGATAGTCACTGAGAAAAAGAGCAATGAGTTAGATGTCTGGTAGAGGGAGGACAAGAAAAAGAGGAAGACCTGGAACCTGGAATCTAAAGGTAAGGAGTAGACTAATCCAGACAAGGAACACGAGTTAGGGGCAAGATTGAGATAGAAGAAAAACTTGGAAAGATAACGAGGACTGAGGTTGCCCAATGTCAGTCCAGGTTTCCAGAGAGAAATAAACACCAACAAAGATGTCTGGATGAAGAAAATGAGCTGATATAAAAAGGAGGAAGTGTACAGCAAAGAGGAACACAGCCCAATCTAACGAGTCCCAACATCAGGGTAACAAAGCAAGGATGGACAGAGCAGAAGTGGAACAGGCTAAGTTGCCAAAGAGAAAGGAACAAAATTTTACAGAAAACTCCTCAGGAGCATCACGAAGTGCCTCAGACATAAAGTGGAGGTAGGAGAGGGAATACAGAGGGTGGTGAGAAAAAAAGACAAAGAGGTGAAAATGGGAAACCAGAGAGTTAAATAGAAAAAAGGGCCTTATTTCCAAGCAGGCCAAATAGATCCTAAAGACATGGAATATGAAAATGAAAGAAAAAATGTCTACACGTCAAGACAAAAAGAGCCACGAATGCAGGGGGACGAGACATTTGGGTGTGAGGGAGGAGTTATTATGGAAAGGAAATAGTATAAACCCTAATAAAAAGCAGGGAGAAAAGACAAGGTAAACCCAAAGAACTGAGATTATGAAGTAAAAAACAAGAAATATTAAAGGACACAGGTGAAAGATAAGGAAAGGAACATAACTGATTGGGAGGTTAAGGTCATTCCTCAAATGGTAAGACACTACCCAAACCAAATAAGGTTAAATTTGTAGTTCAATAAATCATTCCAGACTGAGGAGAAAGAACATCGGCTGATGGGAGAGGAGGAGGACAATGAGCATATAATAATCTACAACACTTTGAACAATGGCTACAATGTCACTGACAGTTAACAACACTCCAGAAGTCATAGTAGAAATAAAGCCTCTGTGTGTGTGTGTGTGTGTGTGTGTAATATCATCATTCACACAATATTAAGTTTAAGCCACCATCATTTGAGAACTTATGATAAAATATTAAAGCTTTTGAAACAAAAGTCAAAGTAAACAAAAATCAAAATTTCATTAACAAGTGCAAGTCTCCTCCAATTGAATTCAGACAAGAAATTTTGAACACTTCAATGCAATGCCAAGGAGAAGAATGAAGTCATCACTAATACAAGTGCATAAGGAGAGATAATAAGCATGGAGGTTGTGTCGCCCTTCTAGTGGTGGAGGGCTTTTGTCACATTATGATGTCATCATGCACCAGCACAGTTCTCATTAAACATGCAAATTTAGGTGGGAATTACCTCAAGGCTAGTGGCATGCAAATCTCATACACAGTGATGTAATTTTTCCCTCAGAACTGGGTGCCCCCAAACAGATGCCATAGGGTTAATAAACTTTTATGCAAGATTTTATAATTTGACCTAACAGATTTCAGTAAAAGTATCATAAAAAGAAAGCTCAATAGTTAAGTGAATTTAACATTAAAATCAAACACAGCAATTTAATTCATCAATTAGACACAAATTTAGCAACAAAAATAAACTAAAAGCTATCATATTTGATACTAAGAAAGATAAAAAAAAGGCAAACCCTTTTTTGGTATGGCAGGAGGAGAAACTTTTGAACCAGGTGTACCCTTTTTAGTCACTTTTTCTGATGTTAGATAGTCATCTACTACACAAGGGGGGGTGTCCAATCGTGGAGCACTAGGTTTTTCTGGGCGATCTGGTTTTTTTGAATGAGTCTAAATGAAAGTAAGAATGTAATTTACATGATGACAATTACTTTAAAAGATGTTCAATCACAAATTATGGACTGTCATTATATACACATAAATATTATATATATATATATATATATATATATATATATGTGTAGATAGATAGATAGATATAGGAATTTCATGCACTGTTTCTGAAATGAACACAACAAATTCACCTCTAACAGTAATTAACTCTCATCACTAGCTTTTATTGACCACATTATATTCATCATGTCTTGTGAAACAAAAATGAACTAATATTACTATCTATCAATGAGAGAACTCATTAGAGGTTTTAGAAAGCTCATTAATGTTAACTTTTTCCCTACCTAAAAATGTATTTCCAAAAGATACCTCAGTACACAAATTTAGAAATTTTCCTCATGCATCCGCCCAAAAGGTTTGCATGTCACTAGCCTAGAGGCAACTCCCACCTAGTTTTATATGATTTAATGGGGATTGAATTACAGCATGATGATATAATAATGCAACAAAGCCTTCCATCAATAGCAGGGTGACAAACCTCCATGCACTCTAACTTTCCCTATGCATCTGTACTTGTGTAATCTTCATTCTTTGATGAGGCAAGAAAGAAAACGTACAATGAAAATGGGTAGGATGGGTGGGAATGTGTGAAGAGGTATCTTTTGGAAATAAATTTTCAGATAAGGAAAGTGTTAACTTTTGAAATACCTCACGCAGATTTAGTCAGAATTCCATAATGAAATGGTGGAGGGGTCAGGGGAAAATTTACCTAGATAAGCTCCTTTCAGAAAATGCTGAAAGGAGGTCCCATGAGGTTTGACACCCAATGGCAGGAGCTCCATAGGGCACACCCATGGAAACTGCACATCATCTAATTCAGGGTATACTCTTTGCCCATACAAGAAAATTTGAAGAGGCAAAGAAACCAAATTTGTGTTGCAGGGACAGATGAAATGTGAACATGGTCATCAGAGTACTTGCACCCAAGTTGATGGACAGCCAATATGTGTAGTTTGGTTGGGGCACATTCAGACCATATCTTGTGCACGCAGCTAAACCCTACCATCAGACTCTATGAGACAGACTCCAGCTGTGGGAGGAGGGCACATTACATACATAATAAATGTTCATGTTTCAATTCTACCATCAGAATCTACGGGACAGACTATAGCTGCAGAGAAGGGCACATTAGTGATACATCAGGAGTTTGTATAGTGTATGCATGCCTCAACTCTACCATTAAATTCTATGAGATTGACTCCAGCTGCAGGGAGAGGGAGTATAGTAATGGAGTATGGACCAGTATAAAGTGCATTCATCCCAACCCTACTGAACAGATATTGGATGCAGGAAGAGGACATCAGATATGTATACATTATAGGTATTTTATGAAGAGTTCTCAACTCAACTGAAGAGATTCTAATCTGCAGGAAGAGAGCATCATATTATGTATTATTGGCCTATATGTAATATGTGCACACCTCAAGTCCACTGAACACTCTGGTTCAAGGAGGAAGGCACAGTCTTATGGAGTGTGCATTTCTCAATTGTACTGAACACGCTCAGAATACAGGAGAATAACACAACTGGCATGAGTGATATATATATATATATATATACATATATTTATGATGGATGAACTGTACAACATTAACAGGGTCACTACAACTCCACTTTTCACACTATAGGTATTCCCTTTTTTTTATTGCCTCTGTGGTTGAATCCAAGTGGTGAGGATTCTCCATGATCCACCATCCCAGCAACTAGGAACTAATAAGTGGCAAGGATCTCCCATGCTCCATTTGATGAAGGGGGGAAATTTACATAGGGAATACCTGGGGAAAGTGCCTTGATCACCAATGGTTCTTCAGTCCAGAAAGGTCTTTTACTAGAGATAGTGCAATGGGTGACCATGAGACCCTATTTTTTAAAAGCCAACAAATGCGAGTCACAGAAGTGGACAGAACACTTCTCTGATGGTAGTCCATGGAATATATTTGGTTTGTATAAGATAATTGAGTGAATATATATATAGATAGATAGATAGATATACACACACACACATACATACATACATACATACTTACTATGAAAACAGCTCAAGTAGTGTTGCAGAACACCCTTCTTACAGTGGGCACAATTATAGTGAGGGCGGATTGATATGAGCACTTTCAATTATCCTGGCTTGATGCAGATTTTGGGTAAGTATAACTTGGGAGGCAACACCAGCCAACGATGGGGTGATTGGATATTTGCAAATATGGAAGCCGAAAGAAGGAAAGAAGTAACAACGTTTTGATCTCCTTAGATCATCTTCTGGTTATAAAAGGAATTTGAAAGTGGTCATGTGTCGTGAAAGCAGAATTAATGATGTCAAAAATGAAATTCCTTGAAGTGTCTGGTTACCTGACCTCCAATAGATCATGCCAAGTGCAAGACGTTGAAGCACATGCTAATTGTAATCATAGAAATTTGCTTTGACAACATCGTTTTGTTTTTAGTTTCATAAAAATCTTAAGAATTGGTAAGGTATTATGCCGTCTGTTAAACGGAAGTTAAAGCGAGAGCTAAGACTGCCAAATGAAACCACTGCATCCAATCCTTTCTCAAAGGAAAAACAAGATAATTTATAATTATTATTTTGAAATTTTTGTTGCTGTTTTTCTTTGGCAGGATTGTACATGAACTGTCTTTTATAGCTATTATACTACCATAGTATCAACTGTGGCATACTGCACCTAACTCAAATGAAGATGATGTTTGAAAAAGAATGACTAAGGCTTTGTCATAACATTAATCCACAATTGTCTGCAGGAATATGAGAAACTCAATGGATACAGGCAGACAGAGTAATGACTTGCTGATTAATAAAAAATGATCAACAAAAAAATAAAGTTGTAAATATTTATTTTTACTACTTAGAAAACATACATTTGCATCTATACAAATAATGAAATCAACTTTGGCATATTATTCAAAAGCATGCATATAAAGTAAAATATGACACATGCCTTAAAGTTAATAATTCGCATTCAAGTCATGAATTTTAAGGGGGGGGGGACGAGGCATTTGGACATGAGAAAGGAAATAATACAAATTCCAAGAACAAACAAGTAGAAAAGACATGCTAAAGACATGTTAAATTAATAACAAAAAGCAAAATATAAAGAAAGAAACATTCCTCAGAGTGAAATACAGAGAGAAAGAGAAAGGAAGGTTAAACTCATTTCACAAACGGTAAGGTACTACCCAAAACAAATTGATAAAGGTTGCATTCCAATAGTTAATTCCCAATTGAGAGAAAGAAATTCCTCTGACAGAATGGGAGTAGAAGGCCCAGTGAACATGTGGTAATCTACAACATTTAGAAACAAGGATCCTAGAGCCATAGTAGAAATAAGGCCTAAGTGCGAACCACACCACTTATTTAGGAGTAACTATAAATCATTGTCTCTGAAAAATTTAAAGTTTTTAATAAAAAGGTCAAAGAAAACCAGATTAAAAGTTTCATTACTGATGCCAATCTCAACAAATTGATCTCAGATGAGAAAATTAAACACCTCTGATCAATACAATGCCAAGGAGAAGAATGAAGTTTACACAAATGCAAATGCACAGGGGGAGTTACTGTGCATTGAGGTGTGTCACACTCCTATTGGTGGAGGGCTTTGTTGCATGGTTATTCATCAACCAGTAGTGCAAAATCGTGTTAAATCAAATTAAATTAGATGGAAGGTCCTCACGGCTAGTGGAAGGCAAGTCTATTTGGCAGATGTGAGGAAGATACGTAAATCTGTGCATTATACTACATATCATTTAACTATTGTAGATACTAATTACAGGTCATGACTAATAAGCACAAAGATATATTGGCAAATGTATTCACTAATTTACATACTAATTATTCCATGAGCTTGCTTTAATATATTTCAGTGTTACTGATAGTTGTGTATACATCAACAGTAAACAGCTTACTTGAATTTGAATTACCATGTCACTAATTTACAAAGATACTTCTTGTTTGAATGAGCCTTAAAACACTAATGTTAAATGTTTAATTAATATAATTATTCCAGTATCTCACTATGTTCTTCACTGTTTATATATATATACATATATATATAAATTTGTATTACAAAGTACAAGCATTCCTTTTAAACATACTACATTCATTCCAGTTACAAATTACAAACTATTACCTGTTATAGTCTTCAATTTTTTTTAATAGTTTCTTTAGATACTTCTCTTCAAGTTTTATTTTCAAAATCTAAATTTTTTTGTAATATTCCTATTTCATACCTTCCTATTTAACTATTAAATTTAGTTTTTATTTTTGTTATTCTAATGATAATGTCTAAATTTGAAACTAGTTTTCCATTAAACTCATTTTCTAAACTGGAGAATGGGAGTTGTTCTTCAAAAAACTTTTGTAGCAATAAAAAGGTTATTTTATAGAAAAGATTACCTAACCTCATCTGCTTTTATAACCTCTACAAAGTTGTCTGGAAAGACTCCAATTTTTCCATTAAGTTCTCCTTTCCACCATCCTTTATCTACTAACTCCTTTGTTACAATGGTGATGATATCATTTTCTTTCATTGTTAGTTCATCTTCATTCTGGGCCTCATAAGAAAATAGAACTCGAACCATTTCCTTCACTAAATGAATTAAACAGATAAAGAAGAATGGAAGGGAAAAACATATAGAACATAATTAATTTTTTAATACATATGAACCTGTCTTTAACCGAGTTCCACAAAAAAAAATCTTTCATGTTATTAATTGTACTTATTTATAAAAAAACCACAATGAGTGGGTTGTTAAAATAGTAAGTTTATTATATTTTTGAGTTATGTGTTTATGAAGATCCGTTCAAAGCAAAACCTTATATTTCATACATCAGTAAAATAAATGCAGCATTCTATTTAATATATTAAAACTGTTTTTTCTTTTTTAGGTTAATGGAATTTGCTTAAAAATTCTAACCTATTCACAACTTGTTTCTCCATTACATACTATTAAAAGGTTTAACTTCATTATAATTTATTAGTTATAATAATCCACCAATAACATGACAAGTACAAAATAAAATTTTGTTAGAATTCTGGTTGAAATAAAAAAAATATTTATTTTCTAAAACTATAGTGTAACAAGAAAAGGAATACAAGGATATAGATTTACTGTGATCTACAAAAAGTAATATCAAACCAGCAAAAACAACCAAAGTTAGATGCAACAATAAAAAAAACTTAAAGTATACATAATTACATAATGAAGTACTTTGTAAAACTAGAGTGAAATAACCTAGAATTAGTACATAGTAGGATAATGGAATAATTATCTTACAAATTACTGAGAGGAATCAACAACTGAGAAAGGAATAGTAAATAATGCAATAATTCATGCAAATTAACATAATTTCCTGAAATATTAAAATAAATTTAAGAACTAAAAAAAACAAGGGACCTGTTGGTCCATCTAGGCTGTCTCATCTAAACTGAACTAAAACTATTAAAAAAAAAAACCTCAAAGCCAGTCTTTATTATTCATATAGTTATCTAAATTTCCCTTAAACTCACTTAAATTTACTGCCTCCACAACATCTGAAGGCAAAAAATACAGCTGTCTTAGTTGAAGATGACTCCTACCCTGCCAAAATGTATTCTTTTGTCCTATATTCTTGCCATTAAATACAAATAAAATCATGCATCAACACTATTGATTCTTTTAAATACTTTAAAGACCTCGATCAAATACCCTCTAACTCTTCTTTTTTCAACAGAAAACAATTTCAGAGATCTTAATCTGTCCTCGTATGACAACCTTTACATCCCATGTACCATCTTAGTAGCCCTCCTCTGAACCCTTTCCAACAATTCAATATTAAGTTTTGTTATCATGTCATGGCCCAAAAAGCGTAGAGAATTGTCAGTAGAGCAGAGAGTTCACATAAAAGCTTTTGGTGATGCTGGTTGGCCTCTCCAACAAATTGCTGCAGACTTGAAATGCTCCCCAAACACTGTCAAGTACACCCTAGATCGTGAGACCGAGACAGGTTAATTTGAAAATAGGAAATGAAGAGACAGAACACCTAAACTCAATGATACTGATGTTAAGTATCTTCATTTATGCAGCCTTCAAGACAGAAGGAAGACTGCCACCGATCTCAAGCATGAGATAAACGATCGTGTACCAAATGACAGAAAAGTGTTCAGATCTACGATATCAAGAAGACTCAATGAGAATGGAATATTTGGTCATGTAGCAGTTAAAAAACCTTAACTTCGATCTCCAAGCATTGTCAAGTGACTGAAATTTGCTAATAAGTACAAAAACTGGACTGTTGATGATTGGAAAGGGGTATTATGGACAGATGAGTCCAAGTTTGAAATATTTGGTTCAAACCATAGGTTGTACATCCAGCAGAAGAAAGGTGAAAGATACTTACCTCAGTGCATAGCTCCTACCATGATGCATGGGGGAAGCAGTGTAATGGTTTGGGGGTGTTTTTCTGCTGAGGTAACAGGAGATATTTGCAAAATAAATGGAATAATGGACCAGCTTAAGTACCATCAGACACTGACCCATCATGGTACATTCAGTGGTTTGCGTATTATTGGTAAAGGATTCTACTACCAAGAAGATGCTGGAGTCATCCAAATGATGCAATGGTCCCCACAGAGCCCTTATCTCAACCCAACTGAGCAGATCTGGGATTTGAAAGATCAAAAACTTGACAAATCAAAAGTTACTTCCAAAGAAACTTTATGGGAGTGTATTAGACATTTGGAGTAAAATCCCAAAGGACACTTTGATTAAATATGTTGCAACAATGCCTGAAAGACTGTCTGCAGTTACTAAAACAAAAGAGGGACACACAAAATATTAAATGTTTGCTGAACTCAAGCACTTCCACCAAGTTTCTGTTGTACTAAACATGAAGATTAGTAATATTTTGATGTTTCCCCTGTGGTTTACCTTCCATCATTCTTTGAAAGTAGCCTGAAATCTAATTTTTGATTTTATCCTAACACTTTTGCACAGTATTGTATATTGCTTAAATATAAAATTAACACAAATCCTAAATATTCATAAGAAAATATAAGTGTAACAACAGGGTGGTACTTATTTATAAGTAAAATGTCAGGTTAAAATTCTAAACCTCTCACCCCCTAATTTTGTTCCAATGTGCAAAAAAACATTAAATGTCAAACTTCATCCATTTTGGACCACATTTAGAGGGTGCTCAATGAGGTTGAAGTTCTAAACTGCAGTGGCTTGGTACCATATGTACTATGTGATATAAAAACATATTTATGCATTATAAATGATCTATTTAAGGTATACTATTTTATTACATGTACAATAGTATAACTACATGATTTTGGTGTGGTTAATCTCTTTTAAATTGTTCTTGTTTCCTTTTTGTTGTTAGAGAAGTGACTTTTATAATCCTGCACAACTTGAAGAAAGAATTGTTACTGTTCTTCTTTCTTTGTTATGATGGCATAATACTTCTCAGTGAGGGCCACACCCATTGTGGCACTATCATTTACCACATTCAAGTGTTAAATTCCCTCCAGTATCTCCCTCTAGTCCTCCCCGAGCTCCCATGATTCAGGGTCATAATCCAGAAATTCAGATGGAATTTTGAGGTACCTGAAGAAGTCTGTTGTATTCTTTGTGAATAAATATTGAACTGACATGTCCTCAGACTTCCTGATAATCAGGTGGATGCACTTTGGAGGTTCATCTATGCCCTACATTTCATTTAGTGTCTTTACCATTGTTTGTTTTGTCTCTGTGGATAAAGCTGAATTATAAAATGCTAAACCACCGAGTTCCTCATTGAGATACCGTACTGTTCAGCAAATTTTTGACAGATTTTGAAAGGTTCAAATTCACTTTCTTATATTTAACAAGACATTCTAAGAAGTTAAGATCATTGCGAGGAGCAGAAGTGGTATCAGGAGCAGTGAACCATACTCAAAGATAAGACTCAAACAACAAATATGCAGATGTCATGGAGTTCTCTTTCCTCACAGCACCTCTTCTCTTTAACTATAAAAAATTCATTAAAGAATTTAATAAAACAGAAGTTGACAAATTGCCTTGTATCTGTAGTAATAGTGATTTTAAAGTTATAATTTTCCTATACTGAAAATATATTTCCAACAGGTACTTACCCTCTCTCACAGATATAGCCATTCTCATTCAGTGCTACCCTCTATACGAAAATTTTTTTCGCATCTCATAAGTCTTTAACTCCCACATACCCCACGATCAATGTGGTTCAACCTTCCTTGATCATCTATAAACCTGGAGAAAAAGCACAACCCAAGGGTGAGGAAAGAATCCATGGCAAAGTGGGGCAGAACCAAAAATTGATTGAGGTGAGACAAATCGATCACAGGCTGCCAATTCCTGGTTTCCTTGGGTAACATAAACAATCTGGAATGAAAACCTGGAGAAGGATGAGGTACAGGTTTGATAGCTTTCTGGAAGATAAGATTGTACTGGCTCAGATGTTGACTGGTGGGAGGATCCCAAGGCAATGGAAAGAATATGGGTACCTGAGATAACGAAGGACGTGAAAGGAAGTGGATGACAAGTCCTTTGGATAATACACAACCCAAAGATCTGTGATGAAATCTCACCAAAGGGGAACAAAATCGGTCAAGTGAGCCCCCACTGGACCTGAAACCAGCGGGTAGTTACCGATGTTGGCAACATGCTCATCTGCATCGAATAATATGACGAATGAAAGAACCCCCAGAGATAGGAACTGGTAAGGGCTGGGAGAGAGCAATAGTAATAAGGGATTATCAAGGCTCTGAATGAAACAAACAATCAACCAAAGATGAAAGGGTCTATTGCTGTCTCACTGATTCCACATGGGATTCTAAAGTCTTAGGAATATCTTCAAAAATAGACTGGTGGAGAAAAGGAACCATACGTAAGTATCAAAGGTAAAATAGGTGGTAAACAAACTTGGGACAATATAGTGTCTCTCCCCAGAAGATCCCAAAAACCACGTGTCTATGGAAAGAGCCAATGAAGATAAACGTGCCAATGTGGAGGTAATCTGGGAGAGGGCATCCCTCAAAGAAAACCTTCAGGAACTAGGTGGAGTGCCTTGGAAAAGAAGGTGGATTGTGAACAAGTACCGTAGGAGAGTTGATAGGGTAAGACTAAATAAGGAAAACTGGGCAAGGGATAAACAAACAGGATGATCAGGGTATGCCCCCAACATGGGCAAAAATCAATTCCAACTGTTGAGAATCTCAATAAATGGAAATTTAGCCTGATGGTAGGGTAAAGCAAACTGATCCAAAGCCCATCATGTAACAAGGAAGGAAGATTATAAGAAATTGGGAAAATGGATAAAACAGAACACACCTATGAAATCATGTCCAAAAACGACATATTAAACCTAGCTTATTCTGCACAGGAAGATACAGCAAAACCAGGTGGAGAAAAAAAAGTTGTCAAATTCTTCGTCATCATAAACAGGTTCAGTATGTTCAGGAGGAAAATGGGCAACATCAGGAGAAGAAGATTGACTCACATAATGACCAATCTCACATTGAATGAGCTGATAATTCCATAGTTGAGTTTTTGTATTTACAATAGTTATATTACATTCAATGAACAAGTATATAAATAAATAGTGGGTTTCCAATGGGAGCTAATTTCTCTTCAAACATAGCCAATCTGTATCTGTCCTTCTATGAAAACTCATTTTTGAAACAGGTATTAAATCCTGTTTTATACAACTGCACTTTCTTGTCATATGAATGATTTAATTTCCATAAACACGTTTAATTTTTTCTAAACTTAATATAAACAAAAGAACTTACAATAGAAAAAAGCAATAGTAATGATGTTCATGCAAATTATTTAGATATAGATATTAACCTTGGAGAAGGCAGAGTATGGTTGACTATTTCAGACAAAAGAAGGGAATTTGATTTTTCCATCCTTGGTCTACCTACCCCAGTGGTGTTATTCTGTTTAAACTGTTAAAAGGTATTATTATATCTTAATTAAAAAGGTTTTTAATGTTCCATAACAATAGCAATTCTTTTATGAATAATGTTTGATTATTCATAAATAAACTGAAAGGTAATGGATATAAAGATTGGCAATTAAAAAAATTTCTTTATACTTATTTATATAATAAGTATGAATATAGTAAAAAAAACAAAAACTCTTGATTATGGAAAATATCTTATGGAGAAATTAAAGGTTGTTAATTACTCCTGGTTATCCATGGTTTATAAGTAGCTAACTTTGTAAATAGAATTTAATTCAGTATACTGGGACAGAAAGACTAATTTCAAGTAGCTGGGCTTGTCTCAGCTTTCCCATGTTATACTTAAACAAATCTTCAAGAGAAAGGGAGGAGGTTGGGAATGTAAGAACTATTAAGGTAGAGTTTTTAGTTCTGTTTAACATCTTTTTGTAAATAAAAGAGCAGAGATAGAGAATTTTTTAAAATGTAGAAATTTTAGGGTGGTTTCATTTCTACTTTAAGGTTGTATTAGAATTTAAAGGTAATTGCCTTCCCACAACTGGCTGCAGATGTTGTGGGTGTAAGCACTCAGCTCCATACCCTTAGTTGATCTTCCATGACTGCTGGCTAGTTTAACATCAGTATTTGGATTTTGTCTGATAGATGGAATATTCCCAACGCATTTAGGTGCTATGACCACAGGCATTATCTGTTATGACTTTAAGATGACAACTAATGCCAACAATGACAATTAATTACTTAATTCTACTGTAATGCTTATTTTATATATATACATCACAAGGTTAAATATCATCATATGAAATGTTAAGCATATCCAATATACTTCCATTTCTTTTAGACGTACAAAACCTTGAGTATATTAGTGTGTCCTGATACAGTATGTAAGTGCAACTTTCTTCCACTGATATAAAAATCCACAGTGAGTCCTTACAGTTACAAGAAACATTACTTGCACAAAATTGTTTTTTGTTTTTCTAATGAAGGTGCATCAAGTGAATTGATATTGCTACATGAAATATTACACATTTCAAGATTACTTTCATCCTTCAAAGTACACTTTACTACTTAATTCCCTTAACTACCAAATGAGGATAAGATAAAAAATTTCTATGGTAAAGAAAAACTGGGAAGTTAGTACACTCTGTGAAAGCTTCTTAGGAAAAATAAAGGTTTTAACAGTAAAATACAAAGAAAGTTGATCTATTTGAGGAATGGTGGAGAGTTAAGAAAAAAAAGAAAAGAAGAAACATTTTGACAAAATACAATATTGTAAATTTTCAACTGGAGGACAGCTTGAGTATTTATGAGAAATCAAAGGAAAATATTCATATCATGATAGCCATTGCAAAGCAAGTCTACAAGATAAAAAGCTTCTAGATACATCAGAAGGAAAAGGGCAGTGGTTGGTAAAGGAGCAAGGACCCACTTAAGAAGAGGTTTAAAGTTTGAAAGGAAATGGGTTCTAGCAGGATATGACTTGTTTCAGACGAGACTGAAGGTTGAGAAATATGAAAGAAGAAGTCTTTTGACATGATTCTGAAAAAAGTACTAAATATTTAACTATCTTTCTTATAATTTAACAGTGTTTTTTAAATAGCTTTAAAAAACAAATACTTATCTTGTTTAACTTTTTGCTGAGCAATCCAACTGCAAATATATTTTATCACAGAAGCTGAATTGTAGCATTAATTTCACTTTATGCAATCAATTTAAATGATAACTATATAGTATGATAATTCCAGTGCTTATTGAAAAATTACTGTGGACTTAAGGAAGTATGGGTTTACTTTTTTGTATGCGCATGAGGTTACTCAGTCTTTTTAATTGATATACCCTATTTTTGTGATCTTATGTGATTTTTCAATACTGTGGATAACAAAATAAAGTACTCTATCAAGCTTAACTTATTATGGTAATAACAGTACAGTTAAATGAAGTGTTATGCAGTTAAATAAGGTAAAAATAAATAATAATAATACAAATGTAATGTGTGTTCATAACACCAGATATTTCAGGAGCAAAATTACATATATATATCATAAAATGTTTTCATTCAAAACAATATTAGCAAATGGATGCTGAAAAAGACTTGCTTTATTTTATGTATAGCTAAAATACAATGACAATGTAAACTGATCAACAGAAAATGAAACAAAAAATGCAGCGATAGAAATCAATTTTCACACGATGCAGATTCTCAGAATAAGGATTTTTATGGTGCATGTAAAATAAAAGGTTTTTAATATTTTCACAATAATTTCAACATGTGAAATACCAAATTTTTCCAAAATTATAAACAAATTAATAACTTATGTTAAGATTAATCACCTGGTTTTGGAGGTAGCTTTGGGGCATCTGGTTCTGTTGATGATTTGGGTGTTTTTTGATAAGGGCTCTAAAAAATAGTAAAATAAAAACTTATAAAAGCAGGATTTGGACTTTGCGATGTAAAAACTCATATAAACAAGTTACTGTATAGACTAGCTTTTTATTTCAAAAGATCTACAAAACCTATGCTCAGTTACTAAATGGTTTATAACCATGCTACAAACACATCACTATAAACTTAATTTTTTATTTCCTCATGTTCAATTTTTACTCCATTTTAAAGCTATTTCATGCATTATATTTTAAATTCCCTTCTGCTACTTTCAGTGTAAAATACTAAACTCTCTCACTACATGCTAGATCAAATTGACTGAGTTTGTGATTCCATACTGACCTTTATGGTTTCCATACTATAACTTCTAACATGTTTTGTGTATTTTCATGAAATTTCACAAGCTTTCAGTAAGCATTACAAAGTATTTTATAGACAAAAAAATCGGAATTTCTCATGAACATATGGAGTCAAAGTGTTGACTTCTGAGAGCAAAGTGATTTTCATGTTAAAATTTAAAATACTTTTCCTTCAAAAATTGCTAAATTTTATTTGCATAATCTCAAAAACCTCATAAATAAATTTCAAACATTTTTTTTCAGTAACATTTTATATCTTACCTGTTATATTCTCTACCCTAACTCTGTATGAAGTTGGTCAATTTTAATGATCTCGTAACCACCATAAAAAATACAAAATAGATCTAAGTTACCCTTTTTGTCTATCCAGAATGACTTCAAATTGTAACATGAAACTACACTTGTTTATCCTAAATAGCTAAGAGCTCTTAGCAGTATACATCTGTTTCTACTTAAATGTTATTGTTTTATTGCCCTTTGAACCATGTCTAACTAATAACCCTACCACACAATTTGTAAATCACTCAGCAAACATGTAGCTCACATTACCCAATCGAATTACATAATGCACAGGCTACTCATGAACTGCTTGTGAGCATACCTTGAGAAAAGTTTTTATTAGTAGAAGTATTTTTCTTACATAATCTCACCAAAGTTTCTAATTTGTACATTTTATTTACTTTTACAATAATAAATAAAGAATACACATGGAAAACAAAAAATATAGTACTTACCTGGGTTGTCTGTTGTTTTTTTTGCTGTCAAGTGTCAATGAAACTTAATCCTACTTTTTTAATATACTAATCATTTTTTATTTAACTAAATATTGCACCTAAGAACACAGAATAATAACACATAAAAAGCAGACAATGTCTCATAACTACCATAATTTGTCTGGTTTTCTAACTATGTGATAAGAGCCATTAAAAATTCAGCTAAGCTTGCCGCTATCTTTCTAGTGAGATTAAAGTTTGAACTGTAAGTGAGACAATTACCTGTACATAAAACAATGTAAAATAATACATCATTTGATAGATTAAAACTTTGGCAATTTCTGAAAGAGAAGATGTGGCAGGTGGGAATGTTTGTTTTGTTTTGTTTTTGAATTTTGCGCAAAGCTACACTAGGGCTATCTGCGCTAGCCGTC